TAAGTATACTTGTACTGCCTTTATACTCTCCTAGGGATTCACCTGATACCTGCTGTCTATACCTGACATATGCTTCCTTCTTTTCCTTGATGAAAACCTCAATTTATCTCATCAAAGCCTGTTGAATGGTTGCAAACACTGAGGCTCCTGCAGTCCTGCCATCTGGTTTCCTTTACCTGCCTCACTCACAGTCATACTGTCTTTTCCCTGATCGCTGACCAAATCAGAAAGCCTTATCCGTAGGACTATAACCACCTTCTGCTACAAAATATCCTGTTACCATTCCCTGTACTTGATGTGTCGCAATGTCTACTTAGCTTCCAGCTCATAAACTCTCAACTGAATCTGCTCAAGCTGTATTCACTTGAGCTCTGACCAGTTGTAGCCATGAAACATCACCTGCCCTGCCATTGAATCATTTATTCCACTATTTGTTGCCTATTTTTATGTATTTTGTTAACCGTACTAATGGTTCCTGTGCTATTTTAAATCTTAGGAACAAAATAGAATTTAACATATATTCACCAGACAGCTCACTCCTTCCTCTTCAGTAGAAGAGCAGCAAATTCCAAACTACCAGCACTCTGGCCCCAGATCCTCCATTCACCCACTCTTCTAAATGATGCTGACTGCCTCCAGGTCCTCCATTCACTCAATTAATTTGTATGGTTTGCTATTTGAACACCATTATTTCAAAACTTAGGAACTAAATGTATTATCTTATTTGCCTTTGTCAGATAAATGAGGCAGAAATTGTATACAAGTCCATTACGGAGATGTTAATATGTATTGCAACTTCGACTCATGGCCTCAGAAAATTAATCTGAAAATATGACCTAAGAATAATAAGACCTAACTTTCCACCCAAATGTTAAATATAATCCATGGCATCAAATTAAGCAGCACTGAGTGGTTAAGACAGGATGAACATTTGAAATACTTGTGCTTATCTAATCCTGACCTCCTGAACATTTCAATACTCCAAGGTATAAACCTTTACTTCTCAATCCCTTTCCTCCTGTAAAACACTCCTTAAAACATAAGTATTGGCTAAAACCTTGGTTATCTGCTTTAATATTACTTTATGTGGCTCAATGTCAAACTTCACTTCATAATCTCCGCTCCCCTGCCCCATGTGAAGCACCTTGGAATGTTTTAGTGATTAAAGGTAGTATATCATTTCAAGCTGTTCTTAAAGGTCTAAATTGGAATGGCAATCTCAATCATGAAGAATAAACTTGCTTCTACATGTTCACTGATCTACATTGGCTACCAGTAGGGCAATTGTAAAATTTTAATATTCTTGTCCTTGTTTTCAAATCTAATGAAGACATCACCCCTCCCTATCTCTGTAGGTTCATCCAGCATTACAACTGTTCAAGATTTCAACAACTTTTCTAATTCTGGCCTTTGCCACAATCTAAACTTTCACCACTCCCCCTTTGGCATCTATGCCTTCAGTTCCTAAACCCGATGCTCTTGAAGTCCTTCTGCAAATTTCCCTTCTTCGCTAATCCCCTGCCCCACACCGCCCCCCAACCCTTCAGACATCCATTAAAATCTAGCTTTCGTCAAATTTTTGGTCATCGATCCTAATATCTCCATTTGTGTTTCAGTATTAAATTTGTTCATGCGAAGCACAATGAAACTACTACTACTGATACTAAAGGTGCTGTATAAATGCAAGTTGATGTTCTGATCTAATAGGTTGTGATCACCAGTGCTTATGAATTTCCCTGCCATATTGGTTTACTGTGAACCACAAAATTAAGTTTTTCTCCTGACTCAGAACCTGTTGTGTCAATGCTCTTTTAGTTTCCTCTGTTCATTTCAATGCAGGATCTCTTTTGAAAGATTTCAATCCTAAAGTACTGTTTAGTGAAATTGTTCCATAAGTCTTGCTTTTATTTTCTGATGCTGGCCTTTTCTTCATCTGTGAAAACAATTGCATATCAATTTCATGTCCATTGCAAGCTCCTAGTTATTAATTTTCCTTTTTATAGCCTAGTCATTCCCAGTTGTCAGTTAAATGTCATTTTTAATAAATTTCAAAACCTTTCTCAGTTCATTTCCACTGTCCCTTCTAAATAGTTTAAATTTGTGTTTCAGTTTTCTCCATTAGAACCTATTTTCATTTCATGCAAAGCTGCACAGTATAAATTTGTTATTTTCTGTTGGTGTGAAATGATCTCATGTGTCAATGTTGCATTGACCCCTATCAATCATTCCCTGGTTTTTTTTTTATCATACATGTTTTACCACCCATAGTCAGTTTCCAAAATGTGCCTGTACAATGCGGAGCATCACCCATTGGGATCATCAGTAAATTTACTAATGTACTTCCCCAATTTTCTGTCTAGTAGTATGGGAAGTGCACCTACAATTTTCCAACATGTGGTCCAAAGGAAGAGGTCTCAGCTGAAAGTGTACACTTAACACTTTCTCTCTGTCCTTGCATGCTAATTTTTTTTAGTACATGTACCAGATACGCTTTTCAATCACTTTTTCGCTGATTTACTACAAGTTGAATCTACACTGATTTTATTTTTGCAAGGTTTAACATGCTGGCTTACCTAAGCTTTATTTTGTCTTGTCCAACTTGAGATAAACTATTTATATCAAATGACCATATGAAGAATGGAAATTCTGAACCCATGATACTTAATATGACACTTTAAAACATCACAACATTCAATCAATTTCTTCATACATTTTAAGGTTAACTGCAATTTCATTTCATTAGATTCATAATGCAGATTTTTAAAAATATAGTTATAAAACTTCCATGCTTGAAATACATTTTTGGATGGATTATTTTAAATCTCCAACAATTTTTTGTCCCTTTCACGTTTCATCTAAAAGTTGCAGTGAAGCCCCGATTATGCACTGCAACCTGATACTTGTTTGTCAATATTTGTGGATAATATTTTATCAGCTCTCTTTTCCACAGTAGACCCTGCCTTTATTAACACACCAATGGAATACTTATTATAATATTTCAGAGGCGTTTCCAGCTGCTTTAGACAACCTACTGTAAGCACCTGTGATGGTCAGAGTAACTGACTTCTGATTAGATTAGAAGATAATTGTGGATGAAAAGGATCCATTGGACCATCTTAGTTCAGCCATCCAAAGTGTTCAATTTCGGCGCTCATATCTTAAAAGGTTTCATGAATTTTGCTGCCATTACCATTCCTGGAAGTCATCCCAAATGTCACTGGGTCAAAATCCTGGAACGCCCTCCCTAATAACTTTATGGATATAGTGATATCAAATGGAGTGCAGTTCAAGAAGGCAGCTCACCATCACCTTCTCAAGGATAACTAGGGATGGAAAATAAATGCTCACCTGGCCAGCGATGCCCACATCCCATGAATGAAGAAAATTCATTTTGTCAAGAATTTTCTGACATCTATGCCAAGCTTTATCTTTTACAATTATAAATCTTTCCTCCCTTGTTCTACTTCCACATTTAAAGTAATATCCAATATTTACCTATTCCTGACAAGTTCACCCCTCAGAGGGCTCCTTTCCAAGCTGATAAACCAAACTTCCTCTTGTTTTGATACTAAGAATCAGTCTAGTACATAACGAATGAGAGTGACAGTGGCATGTAGACTGGTTCTTACTCATTGGTGGGACATTGATGTCACAGGATTCTCTCCTGGGTGAAGACATGGATGTTGGGCATCCTCCAGCCAAACAGATGCTCTCAGCCCTGTTTTCATCTGTCTTCTCCTGTTGTGAGAAAAAGGAGGAAATGAGTGAGATTGTAGTGGTAGCATAGGTGTTAGTACTGGTACACGAGAGGGAAAGCTCAAAGATGTTCCAAAAGACTGAAGAGACAGCACAGAGGCCACATTGGATCAGTGATATGGGAGGTTAAGAGGGAAGAGTGGGTGAGGGAAGATGTGACAGGCAACGCTGCAGGTGATATAACATGACCCGGGGTGGTAGTCGGGTGCAGTAGCTAAGATATAGTGAGTGTGAGGTAGTAGAGAGTGGTACTTACCCTAACAGAGTGGAGAAGGTGATTGGTCTTCTTTCTGCAGTGCTGGCTGTTCCTCTGTACCCTGAAAGATGGCAATGACCTTGGTGGTGACCTCAGACCAAACTGGAATGAGCCTGTGGCCCTGCATCCTCTGCCAGTCCTCTAGGAAAAGGGGTGCTCCCTTTGGCCCCGCTTCTTCCACCAGGACCTTAAGTCCCTGTGAGGACAACACAGTGCCATCTTCCCTTCCCTGACATATTCACATTCTGTCTGTCAATGGGGAGGGCAACTTCGGAATATCAGCGATAGTCTGGGTGGCGTGGTTGATATCCAGTGAGTGGCAAGTTGTTTCAGGAATGACGCTTGGTAGGATGGGGATGGAACAGATATGAGAGACACCACAAAGGCATAGTAGATAATTAATGAGGCAAGTTTGATAAGATAGCATGAGAAAATCTGCTAGACCTTGCAGCAAAAAGCCCTTCAAAAAAACTCATCACAACTTGAGCTTACTTTAAGATTCAATGAGATTCAGCTCAAAGACTCAAAAGCAACACTTCCTTCACTTTGACCTATGTACCTGGATGGGTCACATTTTTGCATTAAATGCTGTTTATCTTCAGTCTGTCCCTTGATGTGTTTCTCCCTTCTGAAACTTCTGAGCTGCTGCTTCAAAATTTACCAGCTCTCCTGGTTTGGTAGACCCTGCACAATTTGAACACTGTACCTGGAGATTATGAACTCAAATCATTTTTGTAAGTTAAGAACAGTAGAGGATCCAACAGCAATCACTCAAACAGAGGTGTTGCAAAAATTGAAAAAAAAATCAACGAATGGGCATAGAATCCAGACTTAGTCAAGAAAGTAAATAGCATTTTAAAAGTAATTCTAGTTTGAAAAGAAACAAACCATACAGTTTTGATAATAATTGTCTAAACTGCTGTGAAATATAATTTCTTGATAATTCCTCTGAATTACATGATATTCCATTGTTATTTTGATGGTTTAGGGTCTCCGTACAGAGATAAGGTCACAATAGCTATCCTGCAGCTTCAGGAGGAAGGAAAATTGCACATGATGAAAGAGAAATGGTGGCGTGGGAATGGCTGTCCAGAAGAGGATAACAAAGAAGCAAGTGCCCTGGGTGTTGAAAACATAGGAGGGATATTTATCGTACTTGCTGCAGGGCTTGTTCTTTCGGTCTTTGTAGCCATTGGTGAATTTGTATATAAATCCAGAAGAAACAACGATGTTGAACAGGTATGTTTAATGATACAATGTGAAAACTGTAATTAGAAACAACTACAGTGTGGTGTGTCGATAAATAGAAACAATCAAACCTGATACAAAGTAGAGGTTTGGCTCCTATCATTTAGCAACTTTCCAAAATAAACAAATAAGGCAAAAAGAACCAAAACAGTGAAATATCTGCATAAAATCAAAAACTAACAAGGCTTTGCTAGAAGAATCTCACAATTTAGCACTAAAAAGCTCTGCAAATCATTTACCTGTAATCTATCCATTAGGCTAAAATCATTCTCAGTTAGACCAGATGTGAAAAGGAGTTTGCACATCAATGTTAAGAATCATTGTTGTAGCTTGACTTGCAAGTGTTCCAACTTCCTTCATGTGCCATTATTATACTCTAATTAGTAGAAAGTAGCTTGGTTCATTAATTTAATCATGAGGTATGAGGTGGAACAATAGAATAAGATATTTAATTTGATTGTAAAAGGTATTTTCATATAAAAAGCAAAGATGTCAATTGTTAGATTAGGAACAGGATTTTGGAAAATAGGCTATGCTAAAATAATTTCTTTTCAGCAAAAGGCAACAAACCATTGTGAATAATTTCCCTTTATGGGGTGAACAGATCCTTTTACATTTTTAAGTGATCAAATTAATTTGAGCTTTCTTAACAGAACCTATGCATGGGACTTATTTGAAGATTTTTTTTGTGAATGTTGATTAATGGTAGGACTTGGATTTCTGGCAGAAATCCATCACTAAATCCTCAATAAAAGATCAGCCATGTCACTTCAAATTCTACTGTAAATTGCAGCCTATAAAATGGCATAACATATAAAGCAAACTCATTTTTGGAGACAAAATTACATCTTTAGCCGTGTACATAATGTATAAGTCAACTGTTCATTTTTCAACTCTATGTGTATGCTTACATAATATTTGCATTACGAATTGTCTGCAATTTTCAGTTTAGAAATACAAGTTTAGGCTTATACTTGCCATACAACTAAGTGCAAGGGGTGTCGTGTCATGTTACCAAGAGATGAGCAGGATTTTAAGACAGGCAAGTTACCCATAGCATTCAATGAAGAGAAATAGATCCTCCTGTCACAAGACTGGCAGGTCACATTTTATACTTGTGAAATAAATCAACCCCCATTTTTGGAAGCATTTTTTGAAGCTACAAAGTCCAATTTACATACTGTCATCTATGATAATGGAACACAGGTCTTGAGAGTACTCATTTTAATTTTGTTAACGATGTAATAATGTTCCTCTTCGAAAATTAGGAAACAGTACTGTCTGAAAACAAGATTCTTTTCTACACACACTGTCACAATTGATGCCTTTCCTCATTTATCTCCAAGAAACGTACATGGCCTTTGAAACAGATGTTTAAAAAGAATTGAAGTAACCAGTTTTGTGGCCCAGCACATTGTTACCTGCATAGGTCATGGAAACGGGTCATTTTTCTACTATGAAAATATATTTTCTAATATATTTCAGTATTTTTACTGGTTTTCCAGAAAATGAATGCCTGAATAAGCTCTATCTTTCACTTTTCTCTTTCTTTCTATATCTCTCTCTCTCTTTCTCTCACTCACCCTGTTTCTTTCACTTATTTCCAAATCCGGCTTTTTTATTTCGCTTGGCAGTACAGAGAAATTTTCTTTAGGATCCAGATACATGAGCTAAAATGTTTATGATATACACCAAATGGCAATTTTGGGGAATGTGGAGATCAGTGTTCTAAACAACCTTCATTTTCTCAAGTGACTAAATGAGTCCATTTCTTTTGAGTAGAATTTTATCACTATTACAATCAGCTAGAATTTCTGCCTAATATGAATATTGGATGACTTATTGTGTGTTATACATTTTGCATGTCACAATGCAATTTCAATGACACCCAGTTGCATTCTAACTGCAACTAATATGTACAACTTCTTCATATTTTGTTTTAAAATGTATAAGATCTCAGACTGTCCTCTGGACTGACTTTACCAAGCATAAAGTACCCAACAGTTAACGGTGCTTTGCATTTCCCCAATTTGAGAGTCATGCTAACTTCATTCTGCCAACTGGCAGTGCAGTAAAAGCAGTGAATGGTCTTAAACAGTACCTGCATATTACAACAGCCACAAGCGTTACAATAGATATGTTGCTTGCAGCCAAGGATCAGTTCCAACTCTATCAGTATGCCGTGGTATGTGACTGATCTCAGTTTTCTTTGCTGGACTGTCTCTTGAGATGCAGTGTAGGCATCAGGCTCTACAAGCAGTCAATCACATTAAAGGATTATCACAGTGCCCCCCCACCTCCCCGCCCCTCAACACAACAGAAAGCTAAAGGCAATAAAATAAAATCACTTCAAGAAAGATTCACAGAGAAGAAATTAAGGATTGGAGAAAACACATAGGGCGAAGGTAAAAGCTAAGAGAATTCTGGAAAAAATGTTCTTTTTTTAAGTGAGAAGAACATAGCTTTAAAAAGTCAACATTCTCACTACTGTCAGTGATTTGCTAGATCTGGTAGAGTCCACAATGTAGCCTGTGTCAAAACCTTGAGTGTCTGACTACAACTTTAGGATTTCCAGGCTAATTTGCACAAGACTCAGATCCTGAACGTGTGATGTTTTGAAAGAGTATTGATGACGAATACTGATAATACAACATCAAATGTCCACCCCTGCTCTTGAGAAATCCAGACCCTTGGATCCACAAAATCAAACTGCCATTTCCAAATCCTCCTTGAATTCGTCAATAATAAACTGTTATACTTTGTTTCCATTCTGGGCTTTATTTTCATAATCATAGCTTTCAATAATGCATTTTAACTGAATTGTTTAGAAATGACTTTTGTGCAGTATTTACCACTGAGCATTATTGTCTGTTTAAATAAAGTCTGTTCATTTACTTCAATTTTGAGTTATAAAGTCACTCATATTTTTTTACTTTGGCTTTTTAATTTTCTGTACTTTTGTTTTTGTTTGTAATTTCTTGTGATTAAAGGCATTTCTACACTTTTTTGTTGCATGCAAGGCCTTTTGTTTCTTTTATGGATCACAATGTAAGCAAACGCATCCATCCTACTCTACATCTGGAACCACGCTATCCACCGAGTTAGAGTGTGGCAAACTAATCCGGGAGGAGAGGCGGTTGCGACCACAGTCCTCCATTCACACTGTTTAGACAAAGCAGTGAAAGGTTTGTGCATATTATACTTACAGTCAGCAACAGGCAATCATAACTTTGTCCTTCAAGGTGAAAAACAAAAGTTTCACGGTAAACAAAGCAGTTGCAATAAAGAGCTTGGAAATTATACTCTTACAGGACTTACTTTAGCATCCAAATGAATTTCTTTAAGGTAGCTTGATTCAATTAATATCCTTAGACATCATAACATCACAGCTTTAGTTTCAAGATGGGCTTAATATGAATTGTGATGCTTCCATTTTAACAAGAGTAGTCTACTTAATAAATTTCACCTACGTTATTCTTATTTTGCAAACAATTGGACAGCAGAACGTGAACAGCAGTAATCATAGATTCATAGTGCATAGCAGATATTTGGCCATTTGGTCCGTTGTCTCATAACCATTTAAAGCACGGAAGCACATCATTTGGTTTGCCAAGTCCATGTTGGTTCTCTGTAAAGCAATCCAGAAGCCCCATTCCCTGTTCTATACCTACATCTTTATTACTCAACAGCCCATCCACTTCCTTATTAAATTTTCCTCTTCTACCACCCTCATGGTCAGCAACTCAGATCATTAGTGCAGTGATGCAAAATAGATTTTCTCGCATCTCTTGTCCAAAACCTTAAATCTATGCTCCCTACTCCTTGTAAAATGCCTAATACAGGTATCCATAGGTTCTAATAACCCCCTTTGTGAAAACATTTCTACTTAAATTTCCTTTACTTTTCCCAATAACCTAATGCCTATGCCCCTTTGTTATTGTTAACCAGTAGAAATCTTTCACAATTTGTCTTCTCAAAACATCTCAAAATAATGAAAACCTCCATTAGACCTTCCGTCAACCTTCAGTGCTCTTAGAAAATCCAGACTTTGTTAATAACTGTTACTGAGTGTTCTTGGTATAATCCCAATCAACATCTCTGTATCCCTCTCAAGATCTACTTTTATTCCCTCAGTGGAGTATGCAGAACTGATGCCTAAACTGTGCCTGGTACAATTTAGTTTTACTTTCTTCTTTCCAAATTCAGCAGCCTTAAATATAAAATTCAGAATGCTGTTTTGCTCCTTTATGATTTTTTTCTTGTCCCTACTTTAAAGATCCATGAATTATTTCTAGATCTCTCTGTACTTCCACCCCAGTAAAATATTCAGCATAGAGGATATATTTCCTTTATGGTGATATTACATTGAAACAAAACATGTGCCTATTATAAACTGGCTAGTAATTCAGCTGTTTCTCTCCCACCATGTATGAAGAATATGACTTGCTACAAACCTTGGGAACTTCCTTAGTATTCTCCCAGACACTGGAATTTTAGGTGGTAGTCAACAGAAGCCCCAAATAGTATCTGGCTGCAATTTTATGAGTCCCATTCCTGGGAACATGGTGGAAAGTGGGGAGAAATGGGACTATAATATTGGATAAGATGATATTTTACAAGTAGAGATGGGCACTTTGATACCTGTGAGGCTGTCCAGTGAACCCAAGGGAAAAGGATTCCTTCTAATTGGACATCCTGTGGCCTATGGAGGTCCCAGCGCAGCAATAACTGCTGTTCCCACCCTTATGATTAATCCCAGTACCTTACCCCTCCTCTCTCACCAGGACCTGCTTGTTGTGCTCCAGAGATCACCCATCCCAGGTTAGCTGGACACTAGGAATCCTCCAGCATGTTTGGTTTGGGGACTTCTGCTGTTGAGCCAATAGGCAGGGAAGCAGAGATCATGAAAGCAGGAAACTAAGCATCTGAAAATTGTAAAATGGAGTCATGTTTACCAGGGCTAGCAGAGGCAGAGCTACGACATTCATGAA